TAGTAGTAGTAGTAGTAGTAGTAGTAGTAGTAGTAGTAGTAGTAGTTGTTGTTGTTGTTGTTGTTGCTGTTGCTGCTGTTGCTGTTGTTAAAGTAGTAGTTGTTGTTGTTGTTGTTATTACTGTTGTTGTTGTTGTTGTTGTTGTTGTTGTTGTTGTTGTTGTTGTTGTTGTTGTTGTTGTTGTTGTTGTTAAGATATTAGTAGTAATAGTTGAAGTAGTCTGTTTATTTTGGTTTCAACAATAAAGATAGACTAAAACTGCCACTACTACTACCAGTCTATCATTATTATCTAGACCAAAAGAAACAGACTTTGACTGCTGCACATTTAGTTGCCATAAGTTGGGTTCTTTGTTTGTTGCTGTTGTTTTGTATTTGTTTTCCCAGATAGCGAAAACTTGACTATAACACAGAGACAGTTGGAAATTGGAAACTTTCTCACTAGTGAAAAGAAACATGACGCTTCTCAATGTGATAATATAGTTGTTTTGGTTTTTTTAACTACTAGAGTGGTGACACCTTGAAAATAAATCGATTTTTTAAAAAGGATTTAAAGAACAGACCAAAACGATCATTTCCATTCGATACGTTCTGCAGAATCGATCAAGTCTGAACCCATTCTTAAGAGTAAAGCAGATACTTTTGCGTCGACCCCGCCCATTTCACTCCAGGTCTAGGAAGGGGATTCCCGTGCACGGTGCACATGTGCATACCTGTCGGCGTGCCTCGGTCTTAGCAGAACGTGGATTCCCTGGAAAAGGAGCAGTAGATCTTAGCTTTGTTGTTATTTTGGATTTCAAAACACATTTGCCCTGTATTCTTTTCTTATCCACCAAGTAAGTGGTGACTGTTATTATAAGAAAAATAAATGATGTAAGAACGTGTAACATGATAATGAATGCATTTTACGCTGTATTCAGTAAAAGCGTTTGCCGGGAGAAGTGCGACGTTCCTTAAATGTTATTTATTATATTTTTTGAAATTTATTTGTTTTCTTTTTTTTTAGTGGGAGGGGTGAATATTAAGTTCACGTCAAAGTTTTTTAAAAATGATCTAAGAATTAAAATCAATCAGCTTTTCATAATGTTAACTACTAAAGAACAAAGTTAGTAATGATGAAAAATCTTCCAATGGAAGAACAATTGAAAAGAACAGATTCGTAATATTTGAACAAATTCTAATTATCTAACTTCTGCAAAAGTTTCAAAATGTGGACCAAATAGGCCTAGATCCGAATCTATGTTGTACACACTTGTGAAGTCGGTTGATTAGTTTTGATCGAAATAGCTTGGTTCAGTTAGATAGAAGCAAGTTTTCAGCAAATTAGTATTGTGTATATCCCCCTCTCTAAAACTTAATACTCACACACACAAACGCGCACGTATACACACACACACACACACACACACACACACACACACACACACA